CTAATGAGACGTGCAGAGATTCTGCAAATGCAGGAATTTAGCGGTTCCCTATTGATGAGTTCTTCCAAAAGTGAAAATAAACTGTTTAGAACGTACTGTACACTGTACTGAGACACAGTGAGCTCATCCTCAGTACAATTACTTGTTATTTTCATTTAGTTAGCAATTAGTTTGAAATGAGAAAGAGCTTTTTTTTCCTCTTCTAAACAAGCCCAGTCTCTCTTATGCAACAGAGTGATCAAGTAATGGAGGTAATGGGCTTGATTTGCCTCTCACTTGTTCCAGTTTTACACCAGCGTAACAGTACTGTCTTGTTTTATGCAGGTGTAAGCAATTGGAGAATCAAGCACAGTAAGGTCTAAATGACCAAACCCTACACCCTGAGTTGCAAAATATAATTCATCACAGACATGAGAAATCAGTTAGTAGTAGTTTTTATAGGTTTCTCCCTCACAACTACAGTACATGTGTATATCATCATCCAACTTCAAGCAGTTTCTAAGTTCAAAAGTTCCTGGCTAGTGATACCCAAAAAGGCCCCTTTCTGCCATAAGAACGGGAGTACTTGTGGCACCTTAGAGACTAACCAATTTATTTGAGCATAAGCTTTCATGCTCAAATAAATTTGTTAGTCTCTTTGGGTACGTCTACACTTACTTCCTGGTTCGGCGGCAGGCAATCGATCTTCTGGGATCGATTTATCGCGTCTTGTCTAGACGCGATAAATCGATCCCGGAAGTGCTCGCCGTCGACGCCGGTACTCCAGCTCGGCGAGAGGAGTACGCGGCATCGACGGGGGAGCCTGCCTGCCGCGTCTGGACCCGCGGTAAGTTCGGACTAAGGTACTTCGAATTCAGCTACGTTATTAACGTAGCTGAATTTGCGTACCTTAGTCCGAAGTGGGGGGTTAGTGTGGACCAGGCCTAAGGTGCCACAAGTACTCCTGTTCTTTTTGCGGATACAGACTAACACGGCTGCTACTCTGAAATCTTTCTGCCATGTATGTTCTCTCTTCACAACCTGACATTTAGTGACAGCTGGGTGTCTTCACTTACTCCACACTGATGGAAAGAAACACCGTCCCACAAGGTAACTTTTCATAATCACACTTCCCATGTATTCAGTGGTATATACATCTTTGAAGAGCTGCACAAACATTAATTAACTCATCCTCATAACGTCCCTGCAATAAGAAGTTGGTAATGTTATCCCCATTTTATGGATGGAGACACAGACACAACCTTGGCATTAGAAAAAAAGAGCTGCTGATGAAGAAACAGGCAGACAGAGAGGTGAAATAACTTGTACAAGGCCATGCGGGGAGTAAATAGAAGAGCTGAGATTCAAGTTCAGGAGTACCTAGCTCCCTGTCCCATGCTTTTTTCTCTACACCACATTCCCTTCTCAGTACCCCACAGTATAAGCACAATTTGAGATAGGCATGAACCAAACTCCATGGTTGAAATACCTTCCAAGGTTCCAGGAAGGTGGGATCTAAGATTTGTTACATGACCATTGCTTTTGCATCTCTCCCTTTGGATCTGCTTTGTTTACAAATGTAGTACTTCAGTATTCAGGTGCATAGCTTATATGATCTAATACCATCTCTTAATGCGATACTTACTTTTGCAAAAATTCATCAGACCCATAAACACTTAGAAAACACTCTTCCTGGGCTGGATATTGATTTGTGCAATGGAGAATCTCGACAACTAAGTTACGGACAATACAGCTAGCTGTAAACAAAGATAAGAAGAAAAATTAATAGCAGCTTGGTAGAGAGTTGCTGGCTATATGGTTGAGCAGAGAAAATGGGAGTCACAGTGTGACTAACTTCTGCTGCAGTATAGCTCCATCTAGAGGAATTAGTATGAACCACACCTTATTTAATTATTTTTTTCTGGCTTCACCTGCTCTGAGGAGGATCTGGCTGTCATTCATACAATCCCAGCAACACACTGAACTCACCCCGGTTTTGAAAGAAACAGGAGAATCTGTCAGGAATCTAGAATTATAAACTTATCAATTCTGAATCAGAGATGGCAGAACCAAAAAGCTAGTTATTCCCACTGAAATCTATAAACTCAGTTTTTCCCTACTGAAATTATGTGTACTTTTCTCAAATGTGACTCTAACCTATTGCAAAAAAAGAGGGCATAATGAAGGCTCTGCGCCTGCACAAGACCCAAGGATATGCCAGAGATTTGTTTGTCACTGCAACCAGCCACATCCATTTCATGTAGCTATACGTAATAGTAGCTAGGCACAGCAATGATATAAAGATATGTGCAATTAGCCCACAATAAATCTACTCTAGTAGTTACATTCCTCCATAACTCTGCTCCAAATTTTTAGGCCACTTTCCATCACAGAGATTTTCTTTTCCCCCCCTATTTTTGAGGATCTGATCCAAAATCAAAAAAGATGTACGTATTGGATTGTGAATTCTGGTAAGCAAATCACAATATAACTAACTAAATTTGCCTTTATAGGCATAAAGGACTTGCCCGACCAGACTAGATCATTGGTGTCTCAAGTCTCATATACTCCCTCTAACAATGGCCAGTATCTGATTCTTCAGAATTAAGGCAAAGATCACCCACAATATACCTAGTCAATTGTGCAATGCAGAACACAGGGGAAATAATTCCTTCCAAACTTCTGTGACAATCTGATTGCCCACAGCTAACAATCTGAATCACCAAGCAGAGGTTGATTTTCATTTCAATTCTTCGTTCAGGCTATTTCTTTACTGCTAAACAAAATTAAAACATTCATTTTAAAGGTTCATTTTAAAGTTTAAGGTGTTAAAACCATTTGTGTTTTAGTGACCTCTTGGAGAGCAGACACAAAAATTAAATGCTCACAATCAAACTGAAGGCCCTAAAAATAAAAGTGGCCAGATTCACATTTATGCACTGGCTGCTTTGTACTGCCTTAGTGATACAAGGCAGCTGTGAGCCTGGTTTAACCAACCCGTTAAACTAAAGTAGCACAAAGAAGCCAGATGATATTGGTGAATCTGGACCAAAAATATTTAAGCTACTTACATATAGTTCAGGCCAATAAATGCCAATTGTTTTTCATGCAAAATTAACATTCTTTCATATTTCTCGTGAAAAAAAGAAAACAAAAAACAATTGGCACTTTCAATCCCACCCGCGCCCCCCCTCCAAAAAAAAAAATTAAAATGGAATGGTACCAAGTACCTTGCAAGATGACAAAAAAAGTTTGTGTATTTTAGTAGAACTGAAGAACTGAATTCTGGAAGGCTAAAGAAACCCAAAGCACTTACCACATGGTGTAAGATGCAGTGGAGGAGATGAACAGGTTGTCAAAATGCTAACTTTGAATTTTGATTTACAAAGGATCTCATCTGATAATGTTGTTGTGACACTCCAAATCTTCCCAGTATTTGTCGTCAAATCAAAAGCAGGATATGCGTCTCTGATTCTGGAGAGAACATACGATACGTTTATATATTTCAGCTCTCCTGTCACTTGAGACAAAACTACCACAATATGCCAAAAGCAATAGTATAGTTAGATATTAAGAAAAAAAATTATATGCTGATGAAGGGTACATTGATGTTATGAATAAATCTACTTCTGTCAGACATCTCGGTGAGATAACTGCTGCCTATTTCATGTTTTATTAAATAAGAGAACCACTGGTAAAATTGCCATTGATTACAGTATGTAATATTATGAACAGAATCACTGTGTGGGTCTAATCCTAATCCCACTAAAGTCAAAGAGTGTTTAGCCAGAGACATCGCTGTATTGTAATCAAAATAATTTCACCATGGTGCAATGAGTGTATTCTGTTAAACTAAGTAAACCCATTTATTCATGTCCAAATAATGGTGACATCATAGCAGAATTTTTGGAAGACTTTTCACTCCATTGCTAAATTTCAAGCATTCAGCAAGGTGACCTTCCAGTGATTTGCCACACACCATTCATCCATCTCCTCGCTGGTTCCCGTCTACTATGATTCCCTCCTTCCCCTTCCATCTCTGTACCTAATGGGACCAAAGTATATACATTTGCGACTGTGATTTCTGATATCAGGGTCTGCTTCTCTCCAACAATATTTCTAACATAGGAAAAAAAATGAATGCCTATCTGCAGGATATGCAAGAAAGTCTTCACCAGCACCACATTTCAAAAGCTGCAATTTTCTTCTTGTCAGCAGCATTAACTTCCCAAGATTCACATCTATAAATCACTATGGAAAAAAATTAGGCTTTTTATAAGTCACAACTTCGTACCTTTTGAGATGCCATGTTTCCAGTTTCTTAAGGGAGACCATAACTGTGTGAACCATCCCCAGTCTTTTACTCATTTCCTTAGAACAGCATCCTTGGTTGGATATATATAATCCCAGATAATTAAATTCATCTACTGCCTCTACAGTTTGTCTGTTAATCCTGATGCCCACTTGCATTTCATTTTTGTTAATCATGTCAAGGTACAAGCACTTTGTTTTCATCGCATACAGGAATAATCCATATTCCACACAAACTATTTTCATAGACTCCAACATTCATTGCATTGGTGGTTGTAGAAAAGAGCATCATGTCATCAACTTACCTGAGGTTAGCTAAGAGATGTTCACTAATGGAAATCCCAGCTCCTTCCACTTTGTCAAAACCATCCAAGGCTCATCTCATAATAAATCCTGTGTACATATGTTAGAGGCTTGGAGACTAAATAAACGGTTGCCTCACACCTTGCCCAGTGAAAAACCACTCACCATTGCCTACTGCTGTTTGCACTATGGTCTGCTGGTGGTGGTAGAGACTTGTAATAAATTCAATAAGATGCTTTGTCTGCCAAAGATACAAACTGTCATGTTGGATGGTGTCAACTTTTGAGTAGCCAATTAAGCACATAATCAATGGGTGATTATACTCTCTGCATTTTTCAATGAGACTATGGATATTCACTATTTGATCATATGTGACTTGGCCCTTTCAGAAACCAGCTTTTTGTGGTGGTATTCCTGCTTCTATTTTTTGTTGCATGTGATCCTGGATTATATAGAGCAGCATTTTGCCTGCATGCAACATCAAGGAGATGTACAATCGTTACTACACTGTTTTATGCCTCCCTTCTTTGGTAAGGGCATAGAAATTCCCTTTGTCCATTCTTCTGGCCAATTTCCAGTCATCTGTACATCATTGGGGGGAGGGATAGCTCAGTGGTTTGAGCATTGGCCTGCTAAACCCAGGGTTGTGAGCTCAATCCTTGAGGGGGCCATTTAGGGAACTGGGGTAAAAATCTATCTGGGGATTGGCCCTGTTTTGAGCAGGGGGTTGGACTAGATGACCTCCTGATATTCTATGATTATATGTTTTCCATATATAATCAGTACCACATTTGCCAATCACTTTTTAACAATTCTTGTCTACCTTTGGTGTTTCCCAGTCTTCATTTTCATAATAGCACACACCACTTACTCTCACAGGGTCAGTGGCTCATTCTCTCTTTTCTGTTGTCCTGTATCATAGGTGGCTCTGGTGAGGCATATAGCTTGCCACCATGATCTCTCCACCTGCATTTAATAGCATCACCCTTACTGAGGACTCTGCCATCATGATCTTTTATTAGCTTTGATCACAGGGTAAACCTTTTGGTAAGAAGCCTTTCCACTGTAAATAGAATTTTGTGTTATTATTCTCTTTACAATTTCCAAGTTCCATAGATTTTGCTCTTACATATTCACTCTCGTCTTGTTCTATTAAAGCAAATTTCTTAATGACAGATTTCTAAGGAGACAATGTAACCTGCTTTGGGCACAAACTTACAGATACTAAGGCCTCAGCAAAGACTGAATACAGCTAGTCAAAACGTTAGGGCACATTTTCTGTGCAAAATCTGACACAAAAAATTCTCTGTTTTCAACCAGCTCTAGGATCAAACCTGGAACCTTCATCACCAAAAATATAGGCTTCTCTTATTTAAGTTTAAGGAAACTCCTGCAGATGCTTATAGGAAACCTGTTCTAGTCACCAAGTCAAGTCACTAAAGGGAAATCTGATACTAAGTAAGTGCATTATATACTGTCTCTTCTTCCAATTACCAGACGTCAATTTCAAGTCCCCTTTGGCGTGCCATTGAAACCTAGAGACATCATAGTTCTCAGCTGGGATTGAACCTGCAAATACACTATACTGCATCAGATAGGAGTACATAGCCTACCAATTGAGGTTTTACATTTCACTAATTGACCTGCATTTTAGTAACTAAAATCAAATATTCTTTAGTAAGCACATTGCATTCTTTTGTGTTTAAGCAGCAAGCTGTATCTTGATTTGGCAGCATTTTATATGGTTTCTGATTACAGTACATTTTGTGGCATAGTTCTCTGTATAAATCTCTTCATAAGGTTATTTCCAATATTACATCTCAGAGCTGGTTCCTAACTCATTTGAACACCAGTATGAACTCTGCTTTTATTGCATACCCGTTTCTAGATTTCCAAAGCTAATTATACAATGAAGCAGTGTATTACTTATAAAGAAAAAGCTAGTGAACATGGTAGCTCAGTGGTATAATGGAAAGTGACTACTTACAGTACATGTGCTAGATTTATACTAGAAACAGAAGTCATTATTCTATAAAAAGGCCGTTTTGGTGACTATATGAAAGTAGTTGCTTGTGTAGCTTCATTTGTGGATCATGTACACATCACAATTTCCACTCTCACAAGCTTCACCCTTGAAGCTATCTCCGTATAGATGACAAAGATTGAATGCTGGAGACTTAATTACCCTCTCACCCCCAAGTCAGGGCTGAGGTGCAGAGGCTTGGCAGCCTGCGGAAAATCTGTATTGCTTGCTGCCCATGCTGTACATAGAGGACTATCATTTCCAGGGGTTTGATCCTGAAAGATGCTGAGCATTCCTCTGAGGTGCAGTGCATACTCCGCTCCTGATGAAGTCAGTAGGAGTTGAAGAAATTCAACATCTCATAGCAGTGAACCTTGAGACTGTTGTTGGGGTCCACTAGGCATAGCTACCAGGTAACTCGGGAGAGCGGAAGGCCAAAAGTGTCGATGAAACTCTTTTGCTCTGGGCCTATCTGAACCCCCAAAGCCCATCTTGTGAACTCTCACCTACTTCTGTGCTAACTGCTTACATGCTCTGAAGCAGGCTGAAGCAGAAATGTATTGGTCAGCGTTTCTAGCAGATGGCTGCAGTTTCACTCACACTAGCAGAAATAATAGAGATAAGGAGGAGGGAACAGAGAGATAGTTAGTTTGCAGGCGTCTAACCCAAGGTCGCAAAGACTGGGAAAGTTTTCTCACAAGCTTATGTAGAGCTTATTGTAACAGTTGTCTGGAAGGGAGGGGTAAGGGGGAACAGCCAGAAAAAGAGATGTATGTAAACAGTTTGGAGTATAAAAGGTAAAATTTGTTTGTATTTGTTGCACTGGATTTGAGACATGCTGGTCTCCTAGTGCCATTTCAGAGCTCTGAAATAAACTTGGCTTGCTTTCTCCCCTCGGTGTCTTTATTGGTGCCAAGCACACCGGGCGACGGACTATTGTTGTCCCCTCGAGCCCTTTAGGGCTGGCAACACTGTCAACTTGGTATCTTTCACTAATGTCAAATTCATTTGAAAAAGGATTCTGAAACTATCCGTGGAAGAACATTTGCTAAAGCCTGTTCCATAATTGTACCAAGAAACCTGGTAAAGAGATTATGGAAACTGCTTTCAAGTTGATATGTGTACAATGAAATGTTTCAATTATGGGTTGCCACCTGTACAAATATTACCTGGAGAAAAATATAATGGGTTTCTATTTGAGTTACTAGCTGGAGCTGTAAGTTTGAATGATGTAGAGTTTGAATTATATATCTTGCCTCTGATTTATAAAACCTGGCAGTTACTAAGATTCTTTAGGGACTTGGGGGAAGCTCAATAAGACTGAATGGGTTAGTTGTGTGCAAATCTATTTAAGATTTTTCTTGGTCTTTTCCTTGGTGTGACATTATCTCCTGAGGATGCGTTCTTATTTTGATAAAACAAAAAGAAAGGGTTTGCCACTGACACACACAAAACAAGCTATGGCCAAGTAGAAACAGCTTAATTTCTATTAATCTTCCTAACGTAGTAAATAAACTCATTAATTCAGAACATCAATAGGAGGCTTTTTCTGTAATTGGAGTGGAAAGTTAAATGTACAATGTTTGGACAGAACAATCTGAGTATCTGACAGGAAAGTATGTCACGTGGAATAGGCCTTCACGAATCTGGTGCTATTAGAATGGGGCTTGGAGTCAGACTGATGCACTATGAAAAAAGGGAAACAGAGAAATCTCTGATGCAGCATGTTTGGGGGATGGACAACCCCCCCCCCCCATGGAGCTAAAAATATAGTCAGCTAGTTTCAGAGCCATTAAGATGAATTAGAAAGACATTTTTATGCAGACAGGTCTTGACAGGCCTTGCAAAAAACTGATTTAATATCTAAATGTAAATGGATTATAATACATATTTAAATACCTAAAATGGGTCTTTTGGGGGAAAATAGTATGTGACCATGTTATTAAAGACTTTATCATAATAAATACAAATATTGGGACTCAACTGAGGTTGTATGGGCAACTTTCAATCTTATATTTCTTAATGTTCTTGTTTTTAAAAAAAATGAAATTTCTAGTTTTTTAAAAAAAACTGAAAGAAAGAAGAAAAGAAATTCTATCATATGGGACGGTAACAGCCCAACTCTATCGCTCAGCAGGGTTGGAACACTAAGGTAGTACCTGGTAGCAATAATAGCCTATTATCCTCTAAGTGGAACAGCCACTGGAGTGGAATGTAACACAGTTTGTCAGTGGGTTACACAGTTGTTTTCTAGACAAAAGTGGAATGTTAGGGATCAGGATCTGAGGTTCTATCCCCAGCTTTGGGAGAGGAGTGCTCAGACATTAATGAATGGCTTGTGCTCAATCAGGGCTTATCAATGGAACAAATGAAATTTGAACTCATGACATTCAGGCTCCTAGCCCAGTGCACCTTTACTTAGGCCAGAGGGTATTTTGCTGAAGGAAAGTAGGTGAGCAGGCAGGCACCTAACTGCAGGCATGGCAATATATGCAGTGCAGATGAACTGTTTAGAAAATTATTAAGGGACAAGTGCCAATTCTGCTCTACTATCCATGTGCAGATGGTAATTATCCAAAACTTTAAAACTTGGCCAAAACAGAGTTTTCATGAGGGCAGCAAAAAACACTTCTCCAGTATCAGGACTATCTCCCAGCCAACTTTCAATTTCCTGCCCCAAACCCCCGAGGCATTAGAGCTGGTCAAAGAAGTGGCATGAAACATCTTTTATGTTCAATACACTGAAAAACATCAACTTTTGTTTGATGGTCAATTTACTTCTTAGTAATAAAGAGGGTGGCAAGGAAAGAAAATATTTTTTCTAGTACACTTTCTCGTTCATATTAATCTCTAAACCAAAATTAAGAGTTTTTCCATATTTAAAGACATTGAAATTATGGTATTGTTCAGAAATGTAGAAATAATCATCCAATTAATACTAGCGAGATAAATGTCATAGTTGGTTGAATAAAGTTTTTTCATTACTTACTTCTGCACTCCATTGCAAAAGGAGGCAGTACTTTCATTACTTCCTTGATCTGCTTCAACCAGCTGGATAGACCAACCTGCAAGCTAAAAATACCAAAATTAAACCAGAAGAAATAAAGCTCACTTTATTTACATAAGGAAAACTGAATCATCTAGTGAGTTCAGCAGCCTGATCTTGCAATAGGTTCCATGAGGGCTAAATCCTCACACCTCAGCACAATTTCATTTACTTAGATGGGACTCCAGTAAGCATAAATCACCCATTGGATTCCACTGAAGTATCAAACGATTTCATTGGTAACTCAGCAAATTCAATGCACTATGTTGCTCAGCAGTCCATAGTTTAATTTTCTTTTTCTATTTGTAAAATATTATGATTTGTAGTCTTCTGTATGGAACATCAATGTTTTAAAAGTTTCTCTAGGGTCAGTGACTACAGCCTGTCAGGCTCTGGGTTCGCAGCGGTCAGAACTGGTGATTAGAGCCATAGTCCAGAACAGGTACAAGGGTCAAATCAAGACTGAGCTGAGGGCAGGGCTGAAACTAAGGGCTAGGGACAGGCTGTGGGTCAGAATGAGGTCAGAGTCCGTAAACAAGCCAAATAGGATCCTAATCGGAGTCCAGATGCAGGCCAAAGGTTGAAGCCACCTGGAAGTCAGAGTCTGGGGGTCAGGAAGCAGGTGCAGGGCTGGAGCACGTCAGTAATAGGGCTGGAGTATAGTTGGAGTAGGGCATGGACAAGGCTGGAGTGGCCATGAACAAGTCTAGGTCAAGGTTGGGGCAGGAACCGCAACTGGATCAAGGGAAGACTGGAAGCCTAGGAAGTCTAACATTGTGCAGAAGCATAAAGGTTCCTGGCTGAGTACTGCTGTTGCACAGACTAATTTGAAGCTCTGGCCATGTCAGTGAAATACCTGTGCCTGGGGGTCATATGACCTGGGCCCTGACTGGGTATAGGCTGCTGCAGCAAACCTGAGTGCTGACTCACTGCAGGGTCAGCTTAAGGGATAAGTCACTGTAGCTGAGTTGCTGCAGCATCCCTGAGCCATGAGTTACTGCAGGCTCTGTTGGAAGGGGGAGTCATGGCAGCTATGTGAGCAGCCCTGGTCTGGCTGCAGGTTTGCATCATACATAACTTTGCCAGACTTTAAAAATTGAGGCTGAAGTTTTCCAGGCCGTCTTTGTGCCTCACTGATTTTTTCCCCAAAAAAGTTTCAGCCAAAATGGTTCAGTTGTTTCCAAAAATGAATTAGGGAAAAATACGTTTTGTCCATGTTAAAAAATTCTCAAGACTGTTTCTTTAAGAAGCACGTGCAACTGCATGCTTTGGAGCAGAGACTTGAAATGTGGCAGGGAGATGATCTTTTGCTGTTCCCATGGAAATCTGCCCACATTTGGCCAAGTTAGAAGCCTTAGAAAAATCTCAGTTTGCACATGCTGAGTGCAGAATTCAACAGCTGATATCTCTGAAGAGTCCTCCCCAATTAGAATGCTCTATCCTCTCATACCACCTACATGTGACCAGAACGCATATGCACTGTTCTCACAGAGTGAATGAGCATGTTCAACTCTGAGAATGCAAGGGCAAAGATGGACTTTCCTAGTATCATTGCTCCTAGCTGCAGCTACTGTTTGCAATGTGCTTTGTGGACCTCCACGAGGAAAGGCACCAAATAAATTAGAAATTGTTAATTCACCCTTTTAAAACCCACCATCAAATCCCTATGCAGTCAACCACAGTCTTACTGTCTGAGGAGGAATAGATTTTCTCTAGCCTGTAAACACCAGAGAGAGGCACAAACCACAAACTCCAGACCTTGGTGTGATTCTTAGCTTTTGTGAAGTGGTCTGAACTGGAGTCTTGACTGAGGTCTATAATAAAAGTCAATTTTACTCCCCAAGGTCTGATCCTGCAAGGTGTTCAGCACCTTCTGCTTTGAGTAAGGTCAAGAGATGCTCAGCACTTTGCAGCATCATGCCCTAGCTTTCTGACAAGGGTCACGGTAGAGTGATTTGAAGTACTTCTCCCCACATGTATCTGGATACTTCAGGATTCCCAAAATATTTCAGAATGCTGACCAAGAGGTGGGTGGGGATCACCATTATGAGGAAGGGAAATGTGTCAGGTTGTGGAAAGGAAAGGGTGAAGAGAGGAGGGTGAGGAGGGACAACATCAGAAAGGGAAATGGAGACCTGGAAGACAAGAAAATTAAGACCCTGTTTCCCTCCCCTCCCCCCAGTATCCCTGAATGGAGCACTGAACACTTGAAGGAAGGCAAGAGAAAGAGAAAAAACTTGGTTCAAAAAGACAGCAAGAGCCAGAGAGTATCAAGAGATCTGACTTCTGAAGACCTGTTCAGTTACAATAAAAGATATTTATTTAAAAAATACACATACATAAAAGAAGTAGAGTGGGGTCAAAATAGTCATTGTGCCAAATCTCAGGATTAGGACAAGTCAGCTTGAACAGGGATAGAGATAGTAAATTTGGCCACACAGCAAAACAGATTCAGCATAATGCCCTGCTATTATAGATTTTTTGTTACCTCGGTAAAAAAGCTGGGGGGAGCCCACCCTACAATACTCTGCTCTACCATTTGCTCTACAGTAGTAACAGTCCAATGATCCAAACAAGGTTAGTGATCCAAAAGCGCACTACTGTAATATACACCATTGGAGCATTTTGGACCACAAACCAGATCCTCAGCTAGTCCAAATTGGCCTAGTTTCATTAGAGTCAATGGAGTTAAACCAATTACATCAGTAGAGAAACTGGTTCCATTACTTTAAAAAATGAAGCAGTCTTTTTTAATGGGCAGATGGGAGAGATATGTCCACACGTTTAAGTGTAAGTTCGGTAAGCCACAAGTAAAATAGGGGCCAGATCTGGCCAACATAAATTTCTTATCAGTTAGACTAAGCAGTCTCCTTTCCCTTCTAAAGTAATTTCTTATGGGCTGCTTGGTTCTCTTCTGACTGAAAAGACAGATTTTATACAAGGAGATTCTACAAAGAAAGTAAAGTTTAGAAGCTTTCCTGCCAACTAATCATCAAAAAGAGTCAATGTACTGTTTGTTTATAAAGGCAGCTTCCTCTTTAACATATAAAAGTATTACAGGAAAAACTGAGTGCCAAGAAAAAATAATATTTGCTGCCTGATTATCCACTGCCTCGCCTCATGTGTGGTTATTTAGAACCTGCTCCAAAAGCCCATTAAAATCAATGGGATTCTTTCAATTGGCTTCAATGGGCCTGATCCAAAGCCCATTGACATGTGCAGAATGAGAGCCATTTCTCATCCACTTCATACAGGTGTGGGTGAGTACACAAGATGTAAGGCAGAGGACAGTCAAAACCAAGATCTTTAAGTCTTTCAACCATACAAATTTGTCGCATACCTCTGTGCTGTCTGCAGAGCTGTTTGCAGAGATGCTGGGCCAGACAGGTCCTGTGGTCAATTCTCTAGGAGGGTTTGTTAAGTATGTTTCCCCAGTGCTCACAAGGAAAGATTTACTGTCATTTCTCCTTGTATCTTTCATTCCTTGTCCGCTTGCATTGTTGTCTGAGAAAACGGGATATTGATAATCTATATGTTCAAAGCCTATACAGACATTCAGATTTTTATTCTCTTTCTCCACATCTGACCCAAATTCATCTGCAGTTGGACTCAAGTTATTTCTTCCATATGGACCATAGTCATAAAGTGTTCCAATGGGGTATGTGGGGTAGGAATTCTCAGAGAGGTCACTACATCCGGATAGCAAAGAAGGTCTGAAGCCAATTGTTGGTGGCACCCTGACTTGCTGCCAGTGAGAGGTGGGGCTTCCAAAGTAAAGATCCCTATGAGGAATTTGAGGTGGATTTATTCTGTATAAATGTTCTTCTGCTGCATCCAAGAAAAACTCATTTTCTTCGGGGTCATGTGAATATGCTGGATCATAAAAGGGTATTTCACTGCTGCCTTCACCAACTATTTGGTTAAGTCCTAGACTGACCTGGCTATCAGGATTAAAATGATACATAGAGTAAGACACTTGGTCCTCAGATTGTCCTTCTTGTAACTCATCTTGCGTCAAAGGCATTTTCCAAAAGTACGCCATGCTTCTTCAGCCCATCAATCTTAACACCACTCAGGGGAGATTTGCCACAGTTTCAAAGTCACAATGAGTCACACTGCAGAATTTGAGCTTTATATTCACTGGAACAAAACAAAATAAAACTAGCTAAAATGAATTTAATGCACTGTAAGCTGTACATGTAAATGGCATTCATTTTAGAGTTCTTTCCATAGGGTATAAGATCCTCTCTCTTATCTGGTACCTGGAGTGAAACCCACCATATGAAACAGATGGAGAATGGTCCTTGGTTTCTGGACTGTTGAATAATATGTGTGGTCATTAAAACCAAAGATGACCATTTCTGCAGTCTCCAAATAAATTATTTTAAATTCCTTATTATTTTTACAGTTGAATAGCACATTTTATCCAAGGATCTCAAAGCTATCTCACAATAACCCTGTGAGGTTGGTCAATATGGGGGGAGATTTTTTCAAAGGTACAAAAGACAGTTAGCTGTCTAATACTCTTTTGTGCCTTTGAAAACCTCCCCTTATAATATCCATTTTATAGAGGTGTATTTTGAGGCACAAAGAGGTTAATTGACTTGGCCAAGATCATACTGCAAGTCAATGGACACAGTACCATACTCTTCTGTAGTCACTAGGCACAATTTGGAGTTTATCATATAAATCAAGGCAAATTGTGAGCCAATTTAGCCTTTTCCCCCCACATATGACATTTCATTAGAGTGAGACCAGTAAACATATTGACCTATAAGCATGTACATGTGTTCATAAAAAGGTGTGCGGTTAAATTGGCTATGCAAATATTTTGAGTCCTGGGGTTGTAGGGGGCACAACAGCAAAAGCAGTGTGTGTTCAAAACTTCAGAGTGCAGCCACCACAAGCCATACACAATTGTGTTCCCTACTTTTTCAAATAGAAGAAATAAAACCCATTTGATTTAATAATTTAATGACTATTTATACCCTTCCTTTCAGAATAGAAATACTATTGAAACGAAAATCTCTCTTGTAAATTGCTGAGGCTGAAAACCACAAATAGTTTTTTCAATATGCTGCTAAAATCTGTAATGTATTAGCTTAGATGATAATGCTATGCACTGAAAATCTATATTATAGTAGAGGTATTCAACATAACTTTTTTATTATTATTTTGATGAAACTCTATCTTGACTCAGACTACTCACCCATAATCAGAAGGAAAAGGAGGATGAAAATTGGATGTTGTGATATGGAAATCTCCAAGACCTGCTGTCGCAGCTCCAGGGTTAGCTGTAGCTTTGACCCTCGGTCTTTCCTTGGGCACCCCTCTCAAGGGACAGGCCCAGCATACGCACTTCTCTCAGACTGGAATCCTGCAAGTCACCCCATTTTTAGAGTGGGTCTCTTGGCTACAGCACCCATTTACCAATCATGTTTCCACAGCAGGTCCAACTGGACTTGGCCTCTGCTACAGATTTCTCTTCAGGAGCTGTGCACAGTGGGTAAATGCAAGAACACCAAACAGCGTCTTTAAAAAAAAAAAGTGTCTATCTATCTGATTATAGCAATCAGAAAGAAAGGGATTAACATAACAAAAAGACCTACATGCATATTGTCTTACTTAAGGCTTGATGTACATTACAGAGTTAGGATGACATAAGGCAGCTTATGTTGACCTAACTATGTCAATGTGTATAGCCTTGCTCCTGTCGATGTAAGTGCCTTACTACACCAGCATAATAACTCCATCTCCATGAGAAGCATAGGGCTTCTATCAGTGTAATTAGGGTGACGCAGTGTCTGTGTAGACACTGAGTTTCTTACATTGGCTGTTGGCTGGGCTCCCCACTCCCCGCTGGGAGCCCTGCTGCTCTCCAGACTCCTGGCTCCCCGCCTCCTGCCAGGAGCATGGCAGCTGACCGGATTCTAGGAGTGGATCTCATCACTGGAGGTGAGAAGCCCCAGGAGGCAGCTAGGCTCCCGGCAGGGAACTGCGTGGAGCTGAGAGCCCTGGCTCTCAGCCCCCCACAGTGCCCCTCTTCAGTCCGTGGGGTGCTCCTGGTGAGGACGCGCACCACCGACAGAAGGAGGGTAGTGTGGACATCCAACATAGGTCGACTTAAGATTGTAGTGTAGACATGCCCTATGTCTTGAGAGGAATGATAGGCTTAGGTAGGCCCGGTAGTATCTCCTCAGTCTTCTGTGGGAACATGTTACCTGTTTCCCTGCAGACCTTGTCTCTGCATCAAGTTTGAGGATTTTGACAGTTTCCAAGTGTTTTGTTTAAAAATTTCTCACCTGAAGGGCCCTGGCTCAGTCCTAAGCTGGGGGGTGTTTGTGCCCCTCGCTAACTCCCGCTCCCCCGGACAGAAACAAAACAAAAAAAGGCCTTGACACCTGTATTTTCAGTTAAGAACCTGTGACTGGGGCTGTCTAAAGACATTGACTTTAGGTTCCTGCAGATGTGCAACCTACACGCAGGATTGAGTTACCTCTTTGCACCCATGTAGCAGACATCATGCTAGTAATCAAATAGTAAACAAATCAAATAGACAAAGGTTCACATAATATCCATTAATTATACATGTATTTTATACTTCTTATTCACCAGAATTTAATTTGTAGCCTGATTAGGATTTGACAATTGAATTACCTATACACATTTTATCAAACGTGTTACTAAGCAATAGAGCAGTTACTGTAGGAAAGTGATCTCTGTGACAGAGCTGGTTGAAGTTTTTGATTAAAAAAACCCCTTTGAAGTTGTGGAGGAGGGGAAACCACTTTTTAAAATCCACCTTTTTCAAATGGAAAAAAAGTCTTTTCCTCCTCTTTTCGTTTTACAAACCTCCTTCCCTCTGCTTTTTTGAAGGGGGGGGGGAGAGGGAGAGAGAGAGAGAGAAAGGAAAAGAGAAAGGGGAAAAAAATGTTAAGATCAAAATAATTCCCCCCAAAATTGAAAATTTCCATTTTGATTTTTTTGAAACAGAAAATTTCATGAAAAATTTTAAATTTAATATAATTTCTCACTTTTCCCATTCCCTCCCCCCCAAAATATACTTACTTTGAAGTGTACTGGGGGAACAAAAAATACTACAAATACTTTTTTTTTAAGCTCTCAAACATTTCCAAACATTTCCATTTTTTCTCGGCAGTGCGAACAACTTAAATGATGATCTGCTGTGGCATAAATGTTTAATGGCATATCCTTGCAATGATCTGCATAACTCCTCCATGGCTTTGTCTCTCAAGCACAATGTAGCTACCCATATCCCATGCAATAAAGGTTTTATATCCATACCACTGCATCATGTATTCTCCCTCTCATACAGAGATATAGATAGATATTTATCTATCTATATACATATCTCCCTCATTTTAGCCTTTTTGTGCTGCTCAGGAGGTGTCATGTTCAGGGCCGGCTCCAGCGCGATCGGCAGCACTTCGGTGGCAGCTCAATCACGCCACTTCATTTTTCGGTGGCAATTCAGCAGCGAGTCCTTCAATCCCTCTCTTCCTCTTCGGCGGCACTTCAGCGGCAGCTCAAAGAGGAAGAGAGGGACTGAGGGAACCGCCGCTGAATTGCCACCGAAGACCCGGACGTGCCGCCCCTTTCCATTGGCCGCCCCAAGCACCTGCTTCCTTCGCTGGTGCCTGGAGCCGGCCCTGGTCATGCTAACACATTCTGCAATGTTGGAACAAGTGTAAGTGTTGTGCTAGAGTTTGGAGAGGGTGTAGCCACTTCTGCATTCCTGCTGTTCTCATTGGGCAGACAGTCCCCTTGGGATCATTGCAATCTTATTTAAGTTAGAGCCAACATGGGGATGATGGAGCCTAAAAAACCCTGTACTAGGGATGCTGCCATATCAGGTAGGGAATCATCTACCTGACAAACCTCTACTCTGCTGCAACAAGCACAGACAATTCATTATGTGTCATTAACACATTAGGTATAAATGCTGTATACACACATACACACACACACACACACACACACACACACACACACAACGTATTGATAGAGTAGACACCTGTAGACAAGTAGTTATAATTAGTCATTTAGACTGGAATTTCAGCTTGCCATATCCTGGGTCCTATTGAGGTCCTCTCTGTGCCTTTCAGGAAGTGCTCAGTTTCTGGGAGGGTCAGGCTCAGTATTTGGCCTACACCTACCCTCACTCAAGTCCTTGTCCAAAGTTCCACTGATAAGTAGGACAGGTTCTTCATTATTGTTGGTATAATTTGTATTACAGTAACAGGATTGACAATGCCAAATGTTCAAGAAGTTTGAGCCAGTCCCCGCCCCCGAAGATTTTTTTAAAGAAGTTTGACATTCATTTTATTCACCTTCTGTTTTTTGAGTTTCTATGGTTCATGTTTTTTTAAGCTTGTGCAACCATGAGGACTAGAAGCTTCCTTTTTCTTTTAAGATGAAAGCTGAGGTTCTCACACAATTGCCTTGCTCCATTAACTGGGATTTTAAGAAGAAACGCTCCCCACATCAAATATCATGGAATTGGTGATTAAAAAATATCACAAGAGTTGCAGCACTGTGTAATGTCCACAATGTGCTAAGCACTTTCCAAACATTCAGATACTTTCCTTACTCTGAAGAGCTGATGGCAGAATTATTATATACATCGGAAACTCATGCATTTCGGGCTCAATCCTCCAATTTTGCTTGAACACGGGAATGCAATGTTAGGCATTTTGCTAACCTATACATATATTTGTTACAGCCTCTTACCTGAAATGCTTAGTTGTTTGGAAGCACATACGACGTCTTATTTCTTTGTACTTCACAGACATACTCAGATGAACTACATGGTTTCAATTTCAAGGAGGCGTGAGTGTTCATTCCTGTTTAACAAGTTTAGTTTGTTGATGACTCTTTCCCATTTCTTCCTCCAGGGAAATTTCAAATGATAATAAGGAGAAATGGGATGTACTTTTGTCTGTTGTCTTTCACATTATTCGGGCAACCCTCGTTTTAAAGGTACTGGTGAATGAACTTACACTGTTAAATATACTATAGACA